CAACTCTTTCGTTTATCATGTTTATGGATGCACTAAAAATGACTTATTATTATATTCATCTCAGCTTATAACAATACCTTCAAAAAGCAATAATGAAAAATATTCTTCGTGACAAAGCAAAACGTTACGAAGTCATAAAACAAAGGAAAGAGAGAAATTAAAGACAGCTAGCACTACTACTACTAAACTACCAAAACTATACATGTTGAATTTGAAGTTTATGATCAGTTGTAATGAAAGAAAAAATCTAGACCGCTATATTACCGCTAATTAATTAATCCAAATTATTAGAAATAATTCATCGTTACTTTTATTTCGAGAAAAGCTTATTGATCACTTTTACTTTCGTTTTAGGTTCAGAAGTAACCTATCTTTAGGTAAATAGATTTAAAGCAATGGTGATAACATACTACGCAACTGAATTGCCAAATGATATCTATATAATTATCAAGCAGGTTAGTTTCTATAAAAAGCCAGAAAGGTACGTGATGTATTTAATGCTAAATGTTGATGTTTTCTCTTTTAAAGGTGTATGGTTACAGAAAATGGCGAATAGCAAATATTTTGATAATGGGTTAGTACAGGACAAAATTTTCGTTCCAACATTGTTTAAGAGTAGTTCAGGGTAAAATAAGGAAAATTGAAAACTTTGCTTGGTATTGATCTAATGGTGATCTAATGGTGCTACAGTTTCAGTGCTAGGCAAAGGAGTTCCATGACTCTCCGCAGGCAACTAAAATGTAACTGCGACTAGAATATGATTAAATACGAGTGTTCTGCTACATAAAAAACAAGACTTAATGGTGTTTTCATTATGCTGTTCTAGTATTGAATATTACATATCTCAAAGGTTTAATATCAACGAATCTCTGCTTTTCTGAAACGATGTCGAATTATAGCAATATATATGAGCTGCATTTTTGAGAATTTTATTTTGCTGTTAAATGTGCTGTTATGATAAATCTGTATGTATTTAATCCTTTATGATCAATCAATTGGACTAAAATAAAGTATTAATATATTTGGAAGAAAGACATCTGTACAATGAAATTTATAGTATCATATAAGAAATAAAAATATTGTACAGGACGGCAATATAAATGTAAATTTGCTTTCAATGCTGTACAATAGTTTTTCCCTTACAAATATAACCAACAGAAGTTTTAAAATGTTTTTTTTTCTGTCATTGAAATAGTTAATTACAACATTGCACTAAAAATTTCCAAGTATTATACTAAATTAAGGTAGGATTCTTCTCTAGTTTTTGACTAGATGAAATATAATTCAAAGTGTATTTGTTCATATGTCTTATATATTTAGATGTAAGAGATTTAAAAGACCATATTTTTCTTTCTTCATCACGATTCTACAACTTTAAATATAAATGGTAAAGTGCAGTTGAAAACTAGTAGGAACTATATTTTTGGCGGAGTGATGGCGTATGAAAATATCTTATTTTCTGCCTCTCAAAATTTTCATAGAACAATGAATTTAGTCATAATTTTTAACACAATCAAAGACATGATTTTTAAATTGATAATAAGGGACCAAAGTTTCAAATATATCAAATAAACATTATTTTTCAAACAAACTAGAACTGTGTTAGCTTTTAAAAGCATCCAATCTTAGTACAAATAAAATTAATTTGAGCCAAAAATCCGTAAAACGTGTTTTTCCTCTCTTAGTAAACGATCAAAACTTATTGTTTTTGTATCATTTTGTATCTTTATGTGACAGCTTTACCATATGTGAAAATAAGAAAAATTTAAATATAGGAAGGATATGAAAATAACTAATGTTTCCTAAAAATTTAAGAAAAGTATAGAAAAGTCAGATTAGCAAATGTCCATTTTAGTTAAATTATTTACGCCAATTTGGTAATGTCATCTTATAAGCCCTATATGCTAGTATCTTTTTATGCAAAAAGAAAAACTTTCAATATTTTGAAATACAGGTAGGATCGCATGATTGGCAACAGTTTTTTTTATTCTTAATGCCCAGGGAAATGGTAATAACCTTGACCTGACCTTGCCTCTAATATAAAACTGTCAAACTTAATCTTACTGATATCATCACTTAGTGATATTGTCTTCTTGATTTTGTGAAAATTTCGTTATTTTTAAATACAATAAATATGAGAAGAATCCTACCTTAAATGAAAAAAACACCAATAACTCACACAAAACATATAAACAAACATTTCATAAATATAACAATTGGACTGCAGGGGATATACTTGAAATTCATTTTCATAATTTTTATTTATAATTGCAAGGATTAGTAAGTACTTATTTATTACTAAAAATTAATTCAGCTAAGATTAAGAAGCAAGGTTTTTTATGTTAAATAATTGATTGAAAAACCAACCATAAATCTTCTCAATAGAACCAGAAGAATTTGGCAGCTCAGCATTTCTTCAACATTTCAAAATTTAATTTGCTAGCACAGGTCAAAATGATTGTATAAGTCAGCTCTATTGTCATGGGAATAAAAGCAATTCATTAAGCTAATTAGTCAGTTTTTAAGTCACGTTGTACCTTGTTTTACATATGTAAAGTTATTTTTACGTAAGAGAATATATACATGTACTTTCTTCAACCTTTTTTATGAGAAGTAATTTAAGGAAACGCCAATGGAAACTACTCCGTCCAGTCAATTTATTCTGATTTCATAGCGTAAACTGGCTTTTCAGAAATTTATATTCTGCACAGACATTAATTTTGTTTTGTTTTTTAACATTTTAATTTTTTTATGATGGTGAAACCTAATGGTTGGTTCGAGAACAGAATGTTCAAAGCAATGTCTAGTATTTCAGAAAATTCAATTAGAATTTTAAAAACATGCTTTAATCTTTTGTATAGCTTCATATTTTTTGTGAGGTTCAAATTCAGATACATATGTGAGAAAAAAATATTATGATAAAGAGATCTACTCAGATAGTATCAAGCTTGAAACAGAAAAATTTGGTTTGTTAAGGATAAACTTTAGACGTTCTGTACTACAGCTATTCTGGTTTGATAATATTAAATCGGCAAAATTTTCAAAAGTCGGTTATCTTAAACTGATGACTTTCCTACACACTACTATAGTATACAATCATTCCTCGGGATTAATTGACAACTAGGCATTTAAAAAAAATCAAGTACTCAGACAAGTGCTCCTTCAATAAAAGTAGAAGCCAAAAAAGTTTCCTATGAATATATTAAAAGGATACCGGTGAGTTCTTTATTGACAACATTTTGTTGTCTTTGGAGACATGGTCTTCCAACAAACTGTGGATTTCTGATGATCATTTATTTTGTTCCTTTATTAGCTGACCTGTTTTGATATTCCCAGGAAGCATAATTTATTTTTTTCAGAACTTCTACATGAACACTTGCTATGAGCTTCAACTCGACTTTCAGATATCTTGACGATCTATATGTATCTTCAATTAGCAATAGTAATTTTTATTCATATGTCGATTCGATATATTCCAGTAAACTATTATAAATACATTTCACATTTGGATGTTTCGGTAATAGAAAATATATAAGGGCCAACTAAAAATGAAAAATACGTATTATTGTTTGATTTAAGATCAAGTGAGATGAGAAGTTACGATTTCTTTTTCACTTTTCTCCTTAAAATTGCAATAAAACTCTGAAAAAAATTTTTAAGCGTGACGATCTGGTAAAAGCTTGAAAGCCAGTTACAGTGTACTCATTAAAAAAATGCATTTGTTGTGCACAGAAAGATATAGATCACATTTTTTTCTTTAAATTTTTCAGAACAAAACAGAATTCAGATTAAAACGAATGGATTCTAAAAGCCAATATAGTCACTGCGGTTTTGATAAGAAAATAGGCACGATCAGAGCATAGAGAAATTCGGAAAACTCCAGAAGATAGAAATAACAGAGTTTCGGGGGAAAATTCAAGCTTTGATCCAATCTACTTCCAGCTAACCAATGGCCTCCATGTACGTTGGGGACCTTCACCCAGACGTTACTGAAGCTATATTATTTAAAAAGTTCTCTACGGCTGGTCCTGTCCTTAGCATTCGTGTTTGCAGAGACATGATCACGAGGCGATCCCTGGGGTATGCCTACGTCAACTTTCAACAGCCTGCTGATGGTAAGTAATTGTAATAAAAGTAATATTCAATGCTTAATCAATTTCACAAAGTTTAAAATAAAGTATAAGTTATTTGATTTTCTACGTACTTTAACAAAAAGGTTTCATTTCTTAGTTATGGCAAATAACTTAAGCATGTTAAGTGCAGTACCTCAATAAAAATGTCATGTAATATAATAAAGCCGGGATATAATTATAGTATACATTTATATATTAAGAAGCCCTTAATGACTTTTATAAAAATCTTAGTTAAAATTAGATTTTATTGTTCTTAATGTTCGAGAACCTTACAATGAAACAAATGTAAATTATTTCATCATTACCATCAGAGCATAGCTTGCATATATATCGCAGCTATTTATTAATTGTATTTTGTTTAACGTCCCTCTCGAGAATTTTTCACTCATATGGAGACGTCACCGTATGACGGTGAAGGGCTTCAAATTTAGACCTATACTCGGCACTCAGGGCCATTGAGCAGTGGGGGTTCTTTATCGTGCCAGCGCTTACCGTGACACGGGACCTACGTTTATAAGGTCATATCCGAAAGACCCGTGACTTTCACTTCTAGTGCCGAGCGCTTGACGAAGGAACAGTCACTACCTTTGTTTACGTCTTAGGTATGACGTGGCGCCGCGAAAAATCTAAACCGGGCCTCCCGATCACGAAGCGCACGCTCTACCACTAGGCTACCATGACCGGTCACAGCTATTTAAATAAATGCTTTATTGCTTAATAAATGAAGTTTTGTTATAGCTGAGAGAGCTTTAGATATTATAAGCTTTGACACCATCAAGGGACGGCCCATCAGGATCTTGTGGTCCCAGCGTGATCCATCCCTCAGAAAGTCTGGTGTTAGCAAACTTTTCATTAAGAATCTGGACAGAAGTATCGACAACAAAGCTCTTTATGATGCATTTTCTGCCTTTGGCAATTTACTCTCTTGTAAGGTGAATACTTACGATAAGTAACGTACATGTAGTTGTTGTATCTTATTTTCAAACTCTTGCAGAAAAAAGAATCTGATTTCAAAATAGCATCCTGTAATTAATTTCTACCAATTTTCTAGAGAAAAGATATTCTGTATTGATATCTATAATCACCAAGTATATACATCAAGTATTAACTTTCTCATTTTAATCAAGATAAAAAATTTCCTTTTAGATTATGTGTGACGAATATGGGTCCAGAGGGTATGGGTTTGTACATTTTGAAACTGAAGAAGCTGCCAGAAGTGCCATTAAGAAGGTGAATGGCATGTTGCTGAATGGAAAAAAAGTGTACGAAGTATACTTTTTTATTTGGTCAGGAAATAGATCTATTGATTATTGACGCAAAATTAAGAGTTTTTTGATGATAGCCAAAACTTTTTATGCTGTGTTTATAATATTTAATATATCAATATTTATTTTTTATTATTTAATATAATTAAATATAATTGAAGTAAATAGAAGAACAAATACTCGGTATAAGTATGGTATGGAAAACATGCATTTTACTATATTTGTTTGGATACCTATCGTTTTTCTTCCTAAAATATATTCGTTGAGTAGATTTGAATTAAAAATATATGTAGCATGTTTTTATTCGCTTTTAAAAATAATCACATCATAAGATTTTGCTGTTTCTAATAATAATCGATCCTAAAGCGTAATATCAAGAGACTTCCGAAATCGCATTTACTTTATCATGAATTGTATAAAAGAGATTCTTTCGTATTAGTTTATAATATTTGAAACCGTTAACTAGCTACCTTCTATGTTGAATTTGTAAAGTGTTTGTTTGATGTTCCTTTACTCATATTGAGTCACTATATTTTAAATCGCTGAAGGTATAAAAAGTTAGGCTGATTCATGCACATACAGTATTTGATAAACCAGCATATTTTGCGAAAATGGACATCCGTCCTAGTCTAAAGACCTGTCCCCACCACCTGCACTGGGATTCAATTGGAAATCACTGACGTAAGCAGCAACTCCTTACTTAGATAGAATGTTCTATCGTTAAAATTATTGTCCCATGGACCCGGTTTAACGATAGAATGTTCCGTGTATTCGTAATGTAGCAGAAAGAAACACGGGCGATAACTCGCATAGTGCATTTACTAGGAACAATCTGAGAGTTCCGAATGTAAACATGGCAGGTAATTTGAATCGAGAGAAAAACGTTGAGAAAATTAATTGGATTTTCGTATTTATATGGATTATTTTTTGGGATAAAAGGCATAAGCAATCTCAAGAAGGTTTGTTTTGATTATTTTGGTAGTTATTCCCAGTGCAAATCATTTTATATTCTTCAAAATCGTTTCGGAGCGGATCCGCTCCGATCTGCTACATTGCAAGTATATGGGACGTATTCTAACTGTGGTGAGGGCCTGTACCGAGACACAGTTAGATTATTCTAACTATTCCTTACTTTGCAACTCAAGAGATAACACGTTTACCCTGCGCCATGTGTGCGACGAATTTGTATAATAATTGATAGACTCTGCAATGATGTAATTTGAGCTAGTTGTTGTGGAAGCTTTGATTCCACAGTTTAACAAATACTGACAATTTTTTTCCCTCAATTATATATAAATTTCCGAAGAATCTTTGATTGAAACATTGTGTTATTAGCGGTGTCCTCGTCAAATTAAACTGCGGTAGATCTCCAGGTGTCAGTGCTAGATTCCAGATGATGGTATTCTCTATATATATTCTTGTTGGAATTGTTTTTAATTGCTAATATCAGATTCGTTTGTATACATACTTTGTGAAGTTTGAAATCAATTTAGAAACTGTAAACAATTATGAAATCTTTATTCTAGACACTTTCGTTCCCATTCAAATAAGTAAATCGTCCAGTCTTAAAGTGATTTTTATGATTGTTAAGCATAATCAGGTAGATGAAGCATTCGGATTATTTTATTCAGATTTTTGATGCATCACTGTATATTGCGAATAAATTACAAAAAGATAGTTTCATCGTTTCATAATACTAAGGACTTTCTCTTCTCGGTCCAGGGCTTACAAAAAGAACATTATGCAATAAACACGAGATTCTTACCCAAGATTGGCCACCGTGTCAATTGCAATTTTTCAAAAATTATCATTTGAAGTCATTATTTCTAAAGTTTTATGATCGATACGATGACATTGAAAACAAAAACAATTTATCAATTCAAATGTTGACTGTAGTTTTAATGCCAATTATTGGGCTAATATTTAACCACTGTATTGTATACGTATTGTTACGTTTTCCCCGATCATGAAATGTATGACAATGTGAGTATGACCGATCTTAAGGAGAAGCTCACTCCTCTAAGGCACCTGATCCCACCTCTGATGTTTTTGGAGGTCCATTTTTGCTCTGTTCTAGATCTTTATTGTTTCAATGGCATTGAATACTTTTCATTATCTCGATATTTCGTTCATATCTTTTTTTCACTTGAAAAAAGAAATCTACTTGAATCAGAATTCCGCTCAGCCATGAATTGCTTTTAAGCTTTTTTTTATTACACTGAAGTTTTAGAATAAATACTAGTAATATAAATTACAGATTTGTAGGCAGATTTTTGAGCAGACGGGAAAGGTCTAGTAATAAGAAGCGAAAATTCAGCAACATTTATGTGAAAAACTTCAGTAAAGAAATGGATGATGCAAAACTGAGGGAAATGTTTGAACCTTATGGCAAGATCATCAGTGCCAAAGTAAGTGAGCTGAAATTAAAACTTATAACAATCGCTTTTTTGCAGGAAAATGGTAAAATAATTAAATTTTGGAAATTATTACAGTAGCCCCGTTCGGTCATTTATAAAACATGATTAAATTATTTGTGCGAAATTATGACTTTTTATATTTTAAGAACTAAATAGCCAGAACAGATAATAATTGTTTTTAAAAAACTTTATGTATAGATTCAATTTTTTTAACATTATTGGTTTTATCTGTTGTGTGAGGACCACAATTGGAAATAATAATTTGCTATGAAAATCCAATAGATACACGATACCAAAAAAAAACAAAAAAAAACAGGTATAACAGACAAGTATTTATATGAATATAAATATGCAAGCATCTGAACAGCTCAGTTGCATATATATGCAATAAATAAACTCTGTGATGGGATAAGGGCTCGCTAAGAACTTAAATTATATTTTACATTTATTTTTTGAATTTAAAAAAAATCTTCTGTAGTAAAAGCTGTAAATAAATTTTTACAAGCAATTTCAGGAAGCGCTTCAAATGGAGACCTCTACTCGTCAATCGGGGCCATAGAGCAGTGAAATCTTTATTGTGCCGACACCTGTCGTGACACGAGGCCTTAGTTTAAAGGGTGAACCGTTTAAAGGCCTAATTCGAAGGAGTCCCAACTTTCACTTTTAAATGCTAAACACTTACGGAAGATACAGAAAATATAGATATATGTGAAAAGATTATAATTTTTGCCCGTTTGAGTGGATTTGTTTTTTCAAATATCATTACAAGAAAATTAACGAATCATTTGGTTATACACTATTTGCAATCGAATGGTATTTAAATGATTATCTCGAAGCATCTTTCAAAGGACTTCAATTCACTGATTGACATCACCATGTTGTTATACAGTCAAACGAAAAAATCAAATGACATACAACAACAAAAAAAAGGAAAAAAATATTATATGATAATTACAAGAATGCAATTTTACACAATTCTTTTTCAATTGTCTATTATCCTTGGATTTGTTTTCTCTTCCTAAAGCATTTATCTAAGTAGCTATATAAAGGTTTTTTAGTATTATAATTACATGGTATAACAATTTCTTTAATGGGATCAGTACCACAGTATAATATGTCATAAAAAATACCACAATTTTGAAATCGATGACTGTCATACTGAGGACAGTAAAATACAAAAAGTGTTCATTTTCAACCAATAATTTACAAGCAAAGCATAAACGTTTATACCAGGGGTACTTATTATTAGTAATTATTGGTTTACAATATCTGTGTGTTTCAATGTATAGTGAATATGCACTGATACTTCACTTTCTTAGCTGTACGTGATCTTCCATGTTTCCTTCAAAGGAAACTTTAAGAAATTCTAATTATGTGCCCCTGCCCGCACATTTTATAGAGTGGTGGCTTACTTGTATCCGATATAACACAATCAATATTTAATGACTTTATTAGATAACAATATATTTTCTGGTCATAATTGATTCTAACAAACGCCTAAAAGTTTTTAATTCATGGAGACTTTTAAATCTGAATGCAAGCACTTTTTTAGATATATGTATTAAACATATCATTAATAACATTTTTAAGTGGTATACACGAGTTATACAATTCCTTTTGTCATTATTTAAGTTATGTATTTTTGGGTATAGTTATGAATACACCTGTTTCATATTTGGATATTTTACTAGAAAGAGACGTTAATGGTTATCTAACAACAAAGCTTTATAATAAAGGTGATGACTTTAACATTTCAATCAACTTCCCTTACTTAGGTAGCAATATACCTTTGTCACTCGCAGTTCATATCTCTCATTTTATTCGATACAAAAGAGGATGTTGAACATGTACGTATGAACAATTTCTAAAACGAATCAAGTTATTGACAATCAAGTTGATGAAGCAAGAAAATCAGTAGTCTCGTTTAAAGTCATTATTTCGTAAGTTCTATGGTTGATACAATGACCTTGTCAGCAAATACAATTAATTATCAAGTCAAATGCTGACTGGATGTTTTCATTGTCATTATTTTACTGATTGTGAGGCCATTATTTACATACTGATCTGGATAATTCCGTTTTTTCTCAAACATAAGGTTCACACGAAGGGTGTGACCGATCGACAGCGGATGCTCAACTTACGTGTCACCTGATCCCACCTCTGATGTTTTGGCGGTCTGTGTTTGCTCTGCTCCTATTTCGTAATGTTTAATGGACTTTAAAGCTTGAATACTGTTCGTTATCTTCATATATTTTTAGATAAAAATATTTCTGCGTTAATTAAAACGATACCGTTTTTTTAAACACTAAGCTTGCAACTTGCATCTTGCCTTGATTTAAATGTGAAATCCAGACACATACATGCTTTTATTTTTTCTGTATTGGATAAAGCGACACATGCAAATTATATTTTTATGAAAAAGGTGATGACAGATATTTCCTCTGGAAAAGGTAGAGGATTTGGATTTGTTAGCTTTGAAGATGCAGAGGCTGCTGAGAAAGTGAGCATTTGATTAAACATAAAAGAATCCAATTCTATTTAGATGAACTGAGACAGAAAAACCCCTGTTCTTAAATTAATTTACTTTGATGGAGAGCAAAATTGTTGTCTCTTATACATATAGAATGAAACCCTGAAAAACAGTATTTCTGAATTATCTTTATTCTAGGCTGTTGATGCAGTTAATGGAAAAGGGTTTGGTGGAAATCTGTTTTATAAAGGACGTGTTCAAAATAAAAACGAACGTCAGGCTGAGCTCGAAGCAAAGTTTGAACGAATTAGAAGGGAAAGAATAAATAGGTACCAGGGAGTCAACTTGTATGTCAAGAACCTAGATGACAATATTGACGATAAAAGATTACGAAAAGAATTTGCTCAGTTTGGTACCATAACCAGTGCCAAGGTAATATGAAATATTTCATTCTCTCACTACAGATATTCAGATGGTATGATAATCTTGAATATTAATGTTTCAATGATTCAAAATCAACCAATTACGTAATTTGTATTTATCTGGAAACCAAATGCTATTTCTTTAAGAATAATACTGCCACTCTGGTTACTTTGACAAAATAATAGATTTTTCAGTTCTATAGTCATATTAAACATTAAGTTTTTAATTCTTTGTTTATTAGTTTCATACATTTAAAAAAATATTTGTATCATGTTAAAATAAAAAAAATATTACTATCATACTGATGCAAGGTATATTTCGTCATGATCAATTACTTTCCGAAAAATTGGATTGATTTTCTCTTATTAATATCCAATTTTCTTTATAAATTGATTTTCCGTTTTTTCTCGATCATGACAAGGAGGAGTAAATTAAACAAGGTAAAGTTTCCAAGCTCACGGACCTAATACTGTAAGAGCGGGGAGTTTCTGTCAGTTTTAGGTAGAATGTTACGAGTATGATTGTATACAGTGTAAATATCCGTTTCAGTGATACTGCCTTGACGATAACGGAGTTGGCATAATGAAAAGCATTGTCTTGATGTAACGTTGTTACGCGCCAACGTCAATGTCATGGTTGGTTGAAAACCTGTTAAGTTACTCTATGAAAACCGAAAAAAAAATTTTTTGGTTGTAAATTTTACAACAAACTGCACAGCAACATGTTGTTGCCTTTTTATTCACTTTATCACTTTTCAAACGTGACGCCATACATTTTTTACGTCAGCCATACCATGATTGCAAGAAATTTACACTGACTGCAAATATGCAAAAACGATGTCTTTAACCCTAATGCATCATTTGGCACTACAAATTGTGATCACAAAATTGGCATCATCAATTTGCACATGATTTTGGCTTTTTATCACTTTTCAAACTTGACGCCATACAATTTTGTAAACCAGCAATTTAAGTTCAAATTAACCAAAAATACACATTCGGCCATATTGTCAAAAAATTTTCGCACATTATGTTCTCATGCGTTTCTTTTTCCTTTCAGTGTACGTACATGTATATCGAAATATTAAATTTAAAGTCACAAATAAAGAGATTTTTCGTTGAGTTGAGAAGCTCAATTCAATATAATTGTACATACGGTAATGAAAACAAAATTTAGTTAAGAAAATTTTTCATGATATTGAAAATTTTCACAGGATTTTGAATATATCAGAATTGACCTTTGCCTAGCATGGGTGAAATATGAATGACTAGTATCTTACCAATTTTGTGACAGGTCTTTAATTATGACATCATTATTTGGATGTTGACAATTGTTAAATCGTAATTGTATCTGATTTTATATGCTCAAAGGTAGTGATGTATTTGTATAAACGATTAATGTCGTGATTTTAGGTAATGACAGAGGCAGGCAAATCCAAAGGCTTTGGATTTGTATGCTTCAGTTCCCCCGATGAAGCTACTAATGCTATGAATAAAATGCATGGACGAATTATTGTGGCAAGACCCTTGTATGTTGCTTTAGCTCAGAGGAAGGAGGACCGTAAGGCTTACCTTGCCTCCAAGTACATGCAGCGTATTACAAGAATGCGAGTACAGGTAACAATGAATTATCATACCCCCCGCAAACGAAGTTGTCCGTCTGTCCGTCCGTCCGTCTGTCTGTGCAAACGTGTCCGTGTCAATATCTTTCTTCCGGAGGGACGTTAGAATCTACTACTCCACACAAAGATTGCCCATGACCTAAGAATGTGTCTTGACCTTCACCCAAAGTCATTTGGGGAACTTCAAGGTCACTGGGAGAAAAATTTCATAATTTGTGTCCGGTCCATATCTTTCTCATGGATAAACTTGGTAGGTTCTCATTTCACACAAAGATTGCCCATGATCCAAGGGTGTGTCATTTGGGGGAAGTTTAAGGTCACTGGAAGAAAAATTTCATAATTCATGTGTGATACATATCTTTATTATGTAAAAACGTACTTCTGAAAAACCCAGCGGGGGTATTTTGTCCCGTTTGGACAGTTCTCGTCTTTTATAGAAACCTGAATAAAATGTAAGAAGGAAATTAAAAGCAGCTATGAATATGCCTGTAAATAATGTTATGTTTTGAGTTATATAATTTTGTAGGAGTTATAGAAAAAAAAAATAATGATAGAAATGTTTTTGTGTGCGTAAGATAACAGTCCCTTTTATGGAAATCTCAGTGATGATTTATCATGTTGAAGCAAGAATTTTATCTTTGAATAAACATGTAATATGTATGAAATATACATGTAATGGGTTAGATATTATGCAAAGATGTGATAGTACTTAAAATGATGTTAGAAATGCGCTAAAGAAGTTATGGAAGGTAAGAACATGGAATTCATTAATTTAGGGACAACAAATAGGACAGGTAAGCCAGATGTTCCAACCAGGTGGTGCTGGATACTTCGTCCCAACAATGCCTCAAGCTCAGAGATTCTACGCTCCTAATAACATGCCAACCATGAGAACTAATCCAAGATGGCAGACAACAACTGTAAGACCAACCGGTCAGACTGCAAATAGTAAGGGGATAACTGGCTTTACATAGAGAATAATACATACCTTTTTCCATATCACATCCTGTATCAGCCCGAGACACCAATATCAGCCAGAGGGTCCATTCGAGCATTCCTGGTTGAGTTGCTCCTACTGAAATAAATTTTTACCTGTAATAGTATATTTCATCGTTTGAGCAATGAAGCATATTTTTGTCAACACCTACCTTGACACGAAAACTAAGTTTATACAGATTATCTTAGTGTCATATCCCACGCTACGCAGTGTACTTACTACTGCACCACGCTAGCCCTTTTGACCTTTAGACCCTCAAAATTCACTGCTCTCAGTACTGTTTGGCTATGCTTGTACTTGATGAGCTGTTCGTAGGTATGCTTCTCGATCGATTATGATGTCTTGGCTGTCATATTGGAGTTTTATAATAATTTACATATTTTTACGAAAGTCGCTTCCCTTAGATTCTCAAAATTTTTAATGTTTTTTTTTTCAAAATTTCTTTGGTTAGTTTTCATTAATGTTTGTTTCATTTTTATTATCACTCACTGTTTTCGAACTTTTGTATTTCTTTGTTTTACCTGATCATTGTTTAATGCAACTCAAATACAGCAGGATACTTTTTATTTTCGATATTTGCTCTATTATATGAGTAAAAATGGTGTTTATTCGAGGTGCTTGTCAAGTAAATTTACACAATTTCAACGAGTTGAATAAAGCAAGTACATGTATCATAAAAAATATGATAGATTCTATTTATCTCATACAATTTTCGTTGTTCACAAGAACTTGAAAAAAACCCTGTGAAATTATATGAATGATTTCTATTCTAATTTTATATTCAATTTATTATATTGATGACATCGAAATATTGATGTTGACATTCTGGACGAAAGTAAATCATTTACAAATATTAAATTGTTGGTCTGTGAGTATTTGAAAACAATATGTGACAATCGGTTGGAGATTTTTTTTTCAAACGTAAAACTAGATTGTAACGAAGTCACAGGAACATATGAAATTACTTCGCTATATCCATATTTCGTTATATCCTTAGAAAAACTTCGTTTAATCTATATAGGTGGGGATCAAAGATAACTTCGTTATATCCGTGAATTCGCAATATCTGTGTTCGTACTAACCCAGTTTTACTGTATATGCTATTTCCATTATCATACAATACTGTAATTATAATACAATACTATGAATCAGTTTTATTCGCGAGAACTTTACGCGTATTCCTTAAGATTATAAAGAACAGTTACCACGATTCGTGAAAATAATAGTCAATGACTATGTCACTTAAATAAGCTGTCGTGAAAAATTGATGATTTACAGTATATCATTTCCTGGCATCTGCCCAAAAAGTGTTAGGTGACATTTTGTAGCATACACTTATTTTATTTTCGATAAATTCCTATGTTAAAACTCATTTAGTTTACTTATGCTGATTTTTTAAAATCATACTCTTTGTACTATTTAAGGTAAGTACGTGGATATCTTGTTTTGAAAGAAGTCTTAAAAGTGAAGAATGATAACTAAAGTAGAGGTTAGAAAATCTGTATAATGTGTTCTTTAACCGATTTTTTATCCCGATATGTTTTACACAAAGGACGAAGGTCAACAAGTAAGACCATTTTACGTAGTGGAGTGAGCGTTCTTCCAATCTTTCACCAGTCAGCAAAACCCAACACCCAGCAGCGCATGCCTGTCAGTCAGCAGGTGCCTGGACACACCCGGGGAGGACAACCCAGTGTGCCAGCAGCCGCAAACCGCCAGGCAGGCTACAAGGGATACATTGCTGGTCATATGATGAAGCAGCATCAAGGACAAAATCCAGGAATGCCGCAGGTCACTTGCCCTAAGAGAATATCTTCGTTTTTTATGTTGGTAAAATTTGAGGTTTGGGGATTCCTGGGTTTTTCAGGTTTTTGTATTAAAAGTGTAATCAAATTTTATTAGAAACTCTTCAGCAAAATGCTATTTCCAGGGACAGGAGACATTGACTGCCACTATGTTGTCTGCATTTCCACCACAGGAGCAGAAACAGATGTTAGGAGAACGCTTATTTCCTCTCATCTCCGGTATGTTCCCAGACATGGCGGGAAAGATCACTGACATGTTGCTGGAAATCGACAACTCTGAGATAATGCACATGCTGAAATTTCAAGAGTCGCTAAAGGCTAAGGTAAGGAGAGCAAAAATTATCGATATAAATTAATTAAAAGGTTAAAGATCCATATCCCATAAAGAATATAGGGATATATTCAGAATAATTATGTTTGCAATGTCCCTTTTCTATTAGATACATGAATATTCTAAATATGATATGAAATATATGGTGATAACGACCAGTATTCAAGTTCAAACGCCATAAAATAATACAAATGTAGGAGCAGAACAAACATAGACCTTTAAAACATCAGAGATGGGATCAAGTGTCATAGAGGTGTGAGCATCCCCTGTCGACCAGTCACACTCTCCGAGTACTCTTTGTATAATCAAGAAATAAAGGAAACAATGAAGTATGTAGATATTGGTCTAACAATTAGTATGAAAAATGTCAAAAGCATTTGTCTCAATGATAAATTATATTTGCTGACAAAGTCATTGTATCAATGACCAGAGAACTTACAAAATGAAGACTTTAAAACGAAGCTGCTGATATTGTTGTTTCATCAAATTGTTTGTCAATAACTTAATTCATTTGAAAAATTAAACAAGCATGCTCTTGCACAAGTACGGGAAGCTGACGATTGAAAAGATAAAGCCATCATATTTATCATTAGCTTGGTTATTAAATTACCTTTAAGTAACCTCTTGCTCCAGTAAAATATCCAAATATTAAACAGATAATTCAGCATTTCTGGTATGTTTTTTCATAAGTTTACACGAATGGAAATAACCACGGTTAATTAACAATACGTCGTCGGTATTTCTGAACGTCGAGTTGAAGGCCACAGCTAATGCCTGCCTTCCTCTTTTCACGTGTGAGATTTTACCATAAAATGTGTGTGTAAAATGCAGGTTATAAGGGGTAGTTAAAATTATAAGTACATGATTAAAAAGCTCCTGATTTTTTTTTAATCTACAGGTTGTGGAAGCTTTTGATTTGTTACAAGCCCACCGAGCAAAGGAGGAAAATGATGACTCAGAGGGGAAACATTTATTAATAACTTGAGATGCTCTTAGTTACCATTAACCTGGACGAATTTTGCTAGTAAAAAAAATTCATGAAATTGTTTCATTGGTGGATTTTAATAATTTGCTTCTTACACTGATTCTTTATCATGTTGATGCAATACCTTAGAATACTGAATGAGGCTAAAATTGTTATTAGATAGTAAATATAAAATTTAGAATCTTTTAAAAAACAAAAATATGAAAATGACACATATAAATGTTTTTGTGCTGAGAAACTTTCTCGCATTATTAAAGTTTTTGAATATGGATTTGAAGTAGGTAATACGCATTGGCCAAGGATTTTTAATTGATCAATTTTAGATATTGTATATTTTGAGTCTCGTTCGATTGATTGATTGTATATTGTTTAAGGTCCCTCTCGAGAATTTTTCACTCATATGTAGACGCAACCATATGCCGGTGGAGAGCTGAAATTTTTGTCCTATACTCGGCTCTGAGGGCAAGTAGACACTCTAATTTCTGTCATAATGATTGGTGTGAGGCTTATAACTTACCAAAATTCTTCTCCAAATTCAAACTCAACTGAGGTATAGATGATTATTGTACTGCTTCGATAAAGTACACCGTCAAAATCAATTACATTAGACATATAAATAATTTTTTCAATTTATTGGTATTTTCTATTAATAATGAAAACTATAAAACAGTTGTTTATCACAGTTTCACATTTATTTGTTTTAATTTATTAATTTTTTATCGATATATGCCTTTGAGTTCTATTAAAATTTTAAGAATTTATTAAAACAGCGACACTTTAGCGTACAATTCTTTTTGCAAAACATGGCATTTTTAATGGACTTTTAAGCTCGAAAACTGTTTGGTATCTTCACATATTACATGCTCATGATACATGTTGTAAATAGTTAAAAGAGAAATAAATTTATAAAACAATACATTCAATAGCAGATGTCGCTTTTAATTCTGATTTTATTATTTTACTCTTTTTCATCCGTTTGTCCTGGCTTAAAAATAGTAAATAGAATATTAAGAGTTGGCGAGAACAATGATTTTGGGGGGAAAATTAAAACCCCTTTCTAGTATGTTCGGAGCCTTTTATTCACCGGTGTTCTGCAAATAATAAAAGCCAAGGAGTTCAAAGTGGCTGGCGATATTCAGCGAGGCTACAGCGAGATAAGGAAAATGTAACCATGACTGAGCCTACTTTAAGGGTAGATAATCAAGAAAAACAATCATAACGTTGGGTAATTAAAATCACTTATTGAAGAATGACTGAGCCAGAAAAGCTGAAACTTAGATGAAAGTTATACCTGAAGAAGTGTAGAATTTAAGTATTTAACATTTTCTCCGGGGACAAGGTCCTCATTGTAGCAAGTCAAAGTTGCACATTGAAATATATAGGATACATCTTTGAAAATCTTTTCAAGAACATTTGGGCCATAAATGCTGCAATTTACATTGGAGCATCCCAGAGGGTCTGTAAATTTTAAATTTCTCAAATCATGACCCTCTGGTGGTAGGGTCGGTCCACAACCGGAATAGGGAATCAACGTTGTACATTCAAATGTAAATTTAAAAAAAATTCCAGGAAGTCTTTGCCAATGAAGCTGAACCTTATTTGGAAGCATTTCCGGGATAGTAAAAAATGTAAAATTTTACAAATCACGGACCCGTCAATAGTGTTGGGCAACAATCGGATATCAAAGTATTTTTTTATTGTAATTTATAAAAATCTTCAAATACATTCTTCTGAAGATTCACTAAGTTATCAAAGATGAAAATTATATGCAAGCAGTCTAGGATAGTGTGGAATACTAAATTTCTTAAATCATGGTCCCCGGGGTACGGTTGGGTTTTAATTGTGAAGCGAAGTTTTACACTGAAATATAATGAAAACAAAATCTTTAAAATATCCTGTCCCATAACCACTGGGATAGAAAAGCTGAAACTTAATGCGTAAGCATCAAATGTTTAGTGTGGATTCTTAATTGTTTAAATCATGATTCCTAGAAAAAGTAGAATATTTTGCTGCACAAATTTACTCTGTGTGCAGGCTGCAAGTTAAAAAAGGAATCCAAACTTAACAATACTGAATACTTCAAAAGAGGAAAATTTATCTTTTTCGTTTTAAAAGAAAACTTCCGACACAAAATATGGCTTCTTACTTAATATTTTCGGTATATGGAATTTAATTAACAAAATTTTTTTTAAAAAATATTTCTTTCTCATCTGTATTATATTTTATTGACTTAAAGGGGGGCAGTACTTATATTATGTTTGCCCACTCTATTCAAATTTACTTTAAATTAGACTGTAGCTACCCTAATATGTAATATTTTATTTTAATTTGCGTATAAAATGCCGATAACGTTATATATATATGTAAACTTTTATTCACACAGTGTACAACTGCATAAAAAATACGATTTTCTGTCATCTGAAAAGCTTTCAATGGCGTAAAGTGGAAAGAATCAATAGGATAATATCAGGATTGAAAACAAATACAGATGCTACATTTTTGTTATTGACATATCACAGTATTTTGTATGATATCAGTATTAAATTACAGTTTAAATAACAGTTTTATCGAAAATTAAAGAAGAAACGAAAACCAGTGATAAACCCTTCAGGTCCTAGAGTACGAAGTTTTATTAATGAACGATAGTTACTTCCTTTTATATGTCGACTTGATATATCCCGTTGGAGTTGAAATAAAGGATACTACGGAGTATGACACATCTGTTTCACATTTCGATATTTCACTCTAAAAAGACGTTGATGTCATCTAACAGCAAAATTTTATGATGAAACATATGGAGAAACGAACAGTATTAAAGATCAAAAAGTCCATAAAACAATTAATAAAAAAACAGGAGCAGAGCAAACAAGGACCTCCAAATCACCAGAGGTGGGATCAGGTACCATGGAGGAGTGAGCATCCCCTGTCGACCGGTCTCACCCGCCGTGTACTCCTTGTCATGATCGGGAAAAGTCCGTCGTCAATTCAATATATAAATAATGGACAAACAATTAGTATGAAAAATGTCAGTCAGCTTTTGACTCAATGATAAATTGCATTTGCTGACAAGGTCATTGTATCGACCAAAGTACTTACGAAATGATGACTTTAAACGACACTGCTAATATTCTTGTTTCATTAACTTGTTTGTCAATATTTTACTTCGTTTTAGAAATTGTTCATACGTAGAGCATGCTCTTGTGTATCGAATCAACTGAGATATATATATTCCGTATGCAGGCGATGGAGGTATATTGCTGCATAAGTAAGGGAAGTTGACGATAGAAAAATTAAAGTCATCACGTTTATCATAGAGCTTGGTTTTTAGATTACCATTAATGTCTTTTTAAAGTAAAATATCCAATTATGAAACAGATGTGTTAGACCTTGTGGTATCTTTTATCTCAATCTATCCAGGATATATCGCATCGACATAGGAATTATCTATATGTCAAGTTGAAGGCCACAGCAAGTGTTTTCTCCTTTCACATAGGATTTTGCACAAATTCTGCTTCATATGACTACAAAAAATAGGTCTGCTAATAAGAAGCGCAATTGGTACCCATGGGGATTCCAATAGATTGTTGGAAGACTTGGTCTCCAAAAACCACATAGATATTGTTAATCAGAAACTTTTTGATGTCAACTTCAGAGTACTTGTGTGTACAATTAGAATGTGTTTTGACAAAATAATTTTGGAAATGACCAATGACCAGGTACGTAAATTTACGAGTTCCATTTTTATTGAAAAAGCAGCTGTCGGTAATGTCAAAATATCTCGACTTAAATATATCGTGGGGAATGGTGTATAAAGTTAAAAAGGCGTAATTTTTTAAGCTGTTGATTTTTGTTAGATCTTGTGATATCAAATTGTCCAAAGTTCTTTGGAATTTTTGAGTATCCACATCTGATTCACACCACTTCTTGAATATATTGTTGCACAGTATTCTTGAAGTTTCTCCTTCACTTCTGTTAATATCTTAGTGAGGAGTAAAGGAAGAGGCTTGGTTGAACATTTACTGGAACCCGTAATATATCATTGTTTGTAAGGATTCTTATGAAGTTTTGGAATCCAATATATATACTCAACAAAAAAAGAAACGCATATTGTTTTACTCATCGAAGAAATTTCGAAAAAGTATATGGAACAACTATTGTTTTTATCATTGGATACCTGTGACCTATTTAAAGTACAACATGGGCTTTTAAACCCCAATTGTAGAATTATTTCCCTTGATTAACCATGTTTATGAAAATAGTGTTTTACATGATTTCTTGTAAATCGGGGGTCTATTTTCAATGAAATTTTGGATTTAGAGAAACAATAAGCACTCCTATTAAACCCATATTTAAGATTTGATTGTAATGTTGATGCTGCAATGCCACGACTAAACAAAGATGAACGCAACAAGGCTCTAACAATGATACTACGCAACAGGAAGTTGCAACTGCATTTGGCTTTTGCAGCAGTTAAATGCACGTTTCCACCAGCTAGGAACACGGATGACAGACCAAGAACTGGCGGTGTGCGGGTTACCACATCCAGACATGACCGTCAGATCCTCCTTCAGCACCTGCGCAATCGACCCAGAACTGCTGTACAAACTGCTGAAATAAGCATATGTGCACACATTGTTCGCAAGAGACTGAGAGGAGCTGGTATTCGTGCACGACGTCCGTACATTGGAAATCCACTAGCGCTGAGAGGTCGCAAAGGACATATGGATTAGTTAAGACGTATGCCTCTAGAATTTGGAGGCGACGTCAATGACATCAACTTAGCTTGTCAATTTGGAACATAGGACTTGTTTGATTTTTATCACAACACACTCTAAAATCACTTGTAAAAAATTAAGGTTTAAACTGAAAACTTAGATTATTATTTTTTATCTGAATATGCGTTTCTTTTTTTGTTGTTGAGTATATGTATGGTAGTTCCAAATCATCTTGGTTCTTTGGGATATTAAAAATATTCAAAACTGGCATATGATTTTGAAGAATTTTTTCATTAGAAAGGGAACTATGAGTCAATAATTTACCTCGTTTTAGAAATTGTTCATGCGTATAACTTACTCTTGCATATCGAATCAGCTGACATTCAAAATATCCGTATGCAGGTGATAAAAGTGTATAGCTGCATACACATGTAAGTAAGGGAAGTTGACGAGAGAAAAGTTAAAGTCATCAAGTTTATCATAGAGCTTTGTTGTTAGAATACCATTAAGCTACCAAACGATGCTCTTTTTCAAGTGTAGAAAAACAAATCCACTAATAACGGGTACAATGGTATCCAAAGTCTGAATTTTGTCTCCAAAAACAACAGGCATATTGTACAATAGAAACTCTAGTATTTTGTTTTATGTCAAATTCAGAATATTTGTTCGTACAATTAACTTTTTCTACTGATATTGTTGCAATTAAACAATTACAAGGTTAGTAAATATTTACGTCTTTCTTTCTAATGAAAAAATAATGTTAAAAACCTGGACTTTAATTATTCTTTGAAACTGGTTGAATGAAGTTTAGAAAAGTATATGTTTTAATGTTTTTTTTTTTTTTATTATGGTGAAATTTTGTATTTGAAATTTTCTAGATGTTCCTTGGCATTTTTAGCATCACCACTTCTCGAATATATTATTATACAATGCTTCTGAAGTTTTTCTTTCCCAACTGAAAAAATTTTGTGAGATTGTAAGAAAGAGTACAGGTATGGTAATTCAAATATATTTGATCATTGAAAATATAAGGAAAAAATTAAAACTAATTAACACAGTCATGATCTTGCTAAATTTCCTTCTTCGAAATAGATCTGTGCCTTCAACTCAACATTTAGATATATCGACGACGTATTTTCAATTAACAATGGTAATTTCTATTCCTATATCGATACGATATATAGAGCTTTGTTGTTAGAATACCATTAAGCTATCAAACGATGCTCTTTTTCAAGTGTAGAAAAACAAATCCACTAATAACGGGTACAATGGTATCCAAAGTCTGAATTTTGTCTCCAAAAACAACAGGCATATTGTGAATTATACCACAGAGTCTGACCCATCTGTTTCATACTTGGATATTTTACTTAAAAATACGCGAATAGTAATCTAGCAACCAAGCTCTATGATACTTTGGATTATCACTTGCAGAATCAAATCCAAGTTCCCCTAAATCAATTAAAAATTGAACCTTACAAACAAAAACAATGTTTTAACCATCTTCGTCAGTTCTGACCAGTGCCTACTTTGTGAATTCCAGAAAACAAGAATGATAAAAATGAACGACAGTATGGAATTGCGAAAAGTTTATTTATGATCTACAGCAACAATAACTAGTGCTAATTGTAACGGGGACCGTTACAGATGTTCCCCAAACGCTCCCCAACTCCCTTTTGGTGCCATATTCCCTGTAAGCTTCATTAAATAAGACAAACTCGATGCATTCGAGACTTTAATAACGTTTACCCAGAAGTGTACAAAGTTCATTCAAATTTTGAGTGCGTATGTGAATGCATGTGCGTAATGACCATATCATCTTGTCTACACAATCTATATATTTTTATATACTAAATATTAAAGCATTCAATCCAAAAGTATTAAAAAGATACGCTCATTCAAGTGTTTTTTTTATTTTGCTCATTTCACGTGCACGCACGTGCATACATGAGCATGGTGACCATATCTTCTTGTAGATGTCCGTTACATCTATCTATGTTCTTAATCCCACCCCGTTTGGTTGAAAACCAAGGGAGTTATAGCTGTTTAAAGTTTCAGCCAATCAGAATGCAGCGCACGTACATGCACGTGTATGCATGTGCATGGTGACCATAACTTCTTGTAGTAGTCCAGTATATCTATCTATGTTCCAAATCCATTCTGTTTGGTTGAAAATCAAGGGAGTTATAGCTATTTAAAGTTTAAGCCAATCAGATTGCAGCGCACGTGCATGCACGTGTTTTCATGATAATTGCTATATATATCTCGTTGTAGGATATCCTAATGCATGGCTATTTTTAAAATTTCAAAGGATTTCGTCAAAAAATAAGAAAGATATTGAGACTTTAGTTTCAGCCAATCAGAGCAAAGCGCACGTGCATGCGCGTGAGATCTTACTATTTTGACCATGTCATATTGTGTATGCTTCTAATATATCCTTATATTATAAGTTTCAAAGCATTTCATCAAAAATTGAAAAAGTTACGCCTATATCAATTAAATCGGTCATTTCACATGTTGCACGTGCACGCTCTTGCAAGCACGTGCGCGCAAAATGACCTTCGTTCCACAAATCTACATAACATGTCTACTGACCCTAAAAACATTTCACCTTAGTTGGATGTATAGTTTACGAGATCATTCCCGGACAAAAAAGTACCCAGGAAGAAGAAAAAGAAGAAGAAAAATAATAATAACTAGAGCCGAGCTCGTTGCAAAGCAACGAGTAGGTCTTCCGTCCTGTTTGACCGGAAGTAACTTTGAATTTAAAAAGAATGAGTAATTGAGTCCAAAAATGGTTTAACACTCCAAATCTATGTTAATTATTGCCAAATTAAGCCATTTTTTGCTACTTCCGGTTTGACCGGAAGTGAAAACGACGGACGAAAATTTCAATTTTATACTCCCAGTGACAGATGTTACCCAAAAATTTGTTATAAAGGCAAAAATATGCATTTTCTGACTACTTCCGGTTTGACCGGAAGTGACGTCGCCGGACGTATATTGACGATCGAGATAGATTAAACTTAACATTTTGAACAACTTTGCTTCTTTGATGTATTACAACTTCTCAATACTTTTTGAGATATAAAGGAAAAACGTTTTGCCCCTCTAGGCCCTTAATTTTAGGGACCAGCCCTTTTTTCGAGATACCATTCGAAAGATCTTGGGATTCTACAATTCTTTTGTTCTATATGTTTTAACAAAATATTTCCAGGTAAAAAGATAACGTAGAAAAGATGTCAAAAATTTTGAAATTTGCTGTAGGCCTTTTTTCGGGCCATAGGGAGCGCCGACGTGCGTCACTTCCGATAAAAATGAAATACATTCCGCAAATCTACAGACATAGGTCTACCATACCTGAAAGTATCATGTGTCTATCTAAAGCCGTTTAGGAGAAAACTTGCGGACAAAACGACCCTCAAAAAACCATTAAAGTGACGATAACTCCGGACCGGAAGTGACGTCATCAAAATGAAAAAAAACGCATAAGGTTCAAGTGATGTGACATAAGTCCTGAAAGTTTCATGGAAATCCATCAAGCCGTTTTCGAAAAATCGCGTGCACAAAATCGGTAAGAAAAAAAAACAATAATAATAAAAGTGAAAAAGAAACCTAAGAATAACAAGAAGGTCTTCCGCTGAAGACGGAAGACCTTAACTAGTGCTAATTGTAACGGGGACCGTTACAGATGTTCCCCAAACGCTCCCCATCTCCCTTTTGGTGCCATATTCCCTGTTAGCTTCATTAAATAAGACAAACTTCATGCATTTGAGACTTTAACAACGTTTACCAAGAAGGGTACCAAGTTCATTCAAATTTTAGCATTGCACGCGTGCGCATGTGAATGCATGTGCGTAATGACCATATCATCTTGTCTACAAAATCTATATACTTTAATATACTAAATATTAAAGTATTTAATCCAAAAGTATTAAAAAATACGCTCATTCAAGTGTATATTTGGTTTTACTCATTTCACGTGCACGCACGTGCATACATGAGCCTGGTGACAAACCTTCTTGTAGAAGTCCATTACATCTATCTATGTTCTAAATCCAACTCCGTTTGGTTGAAAACCAAAGGAGTTCTAGCTGATTAAAGTTTCAGCCAATCAGATTGCAGCGTACGTTCACGCACGTGTTTGGATGTGCATGGTGATCATACCTACTTGTAGAAGTCCATTATATCTATCTATGTTCCAAATCTCATCCTGTTTGGTTGAAAATTAAAGGAGTTATACTTATTTAAAGTTTCAGCCAATTAGATTGCAGCGCACATAGACGCACGTGTATGGATGTGCATGGTGACCATACCTTCTTGTAGAAGTCTATTATATCTATCTATGCTCCAAATCCCATCCTGTTTGGTTGAAAACCAAGGGAGTTATAGCTATTTAAAGTTTCAGCCAATCAGATTGCAGCACACGTGCATGCACGTGTTTTCTTGATAATTGCTATAAATCATGTTGTAGGATATCCTAATGCATGGCTATGTTCAAAATTTCAAAGGATTTCATCAAACACCAAGAAAGATATTGTGACTTTAGTTTCAGCCAATCAGAGCAAAGCGCACGTGTATGCGCGTGAGATCTTGCTATTTTGACCATGTCATATTATCTATGCTACTACTGTATCATTATGTTCCCCAAACGAAGTTGGGGAACATATTGTTTTTACTCTGTTTCTTATTATTATTATTAAGGTCTTCCGTCTTCAGCGGAAGACCTTCTTGTTATTCTTAGGTTTCTTTTCCACTTTTATTATTCTTTTTTTTCTTACCGATTTTGTGCACGCGATTTCTCAAAAACGGCTCGATGGATTTTCATGAAACTTTCAGGACTTATGTTACATTACTTGAACCTTATGCATTTTTTTCTGATTCGATGACGTCACTTCCGGTTTGGAGATATTGCCGATTTTATGATTTTTGAAGGGTCAGTTTGTCCGCAGACTTTCTCAATAATGGCTCAAGATAGAAACATGAAACTTTCAGGTATGACAGACCAAAGTCTGTAGATATGTACAACGTATTTCATTTTAATCAGAAGGGCCGCACGTCGGCGCTCGCTATGGCCCGAAAATAGACGTATCACGAATTTCAAAATTTGTAACACTTTTTCGAAGATATCTTTTTACCTAGAAATATTTTGTTAAGACATATAGAGCAAAAGAAGTGCAGTATTTTAAGATCTTTCAAATGATATCTCAAAAAAAGGACTGGCCCCTAAAAAAAGGGGCCTAGAGGGGCCGAAACTTTTTTCTTTATATCTCAAAATTTGTAAAGAATTTGTAATACGTCAAAGAAGCAAAGTTGTTTAAAAGATCAAGCTCAATCTATTGGCGTCGTCAAAATTTGTCCGGCGACGTCACTTCCGGCCAAACCGGAAGTAGTCTGAAAATACGTATTTTTGCCGTTAATGACAAGTTTTGGGGTAACAAATGTCTCTGGGGGCATAAAAATTAATTTTCTGTCCGTCGTCGTCACTTCTGGTCAGACCGGAAGTAGCTAAAAATGGCTTATTTTTGCATTAATTAACATACTTTTAGAGGATTCAAGCTATTTTTGGGCGTTATTTCGCATTTTTGTTATAAATAAAATCCACTTCCGGTCAAATAGGACGGAAGACCTACTCGTTGCTTTGCAACGAGCTTTGCTCTAGTTATTATTATTAAGGTCTTCCGTCTTCAGCGGAAGACCTTTCTGTTATTCTTAGGTTTCTTTTCCACAGTTTTTATTATTTTTTTTCTTACATATTTTGTGCACGCGAGTTCTCGAAAACGCCTTGATCGATTTTCATGAAACTTTCAGGAATGATAGAACATCAAAAAATCTAGATATATAATTTTTTGTTTTGATGACGTCACTTCCGGTTCGGAGATTTCTGCGATTTTGTCATTTTTAGAGGGTCACTTTGTCCGGCAATGTTCTCAAAAACCATTGAAGATAGAAGTGTGAATTTTTTAGGGATGCTAGAGCAAACTTTGGAGAAGTGCATTTTGTATATCACAACTACCGGAAGTACGAAGCGCCGACGCTCGCTATGGCCCGAAAATAGACCTATCGCGAATTTCAAAATTTTTAACATCTTTTCTACGATAGCTTTTTACCTGGAAATATTTTGTTAAAACATATAGAACAAAAGAAGTGTAGAATTCCAAGATCTTTCAAATGATATCTTGTAAAAAGGGCTGGCCCCTAAAATTAAGGGCCTAGAGGGGCCGAAAGTTTTTTCTTTATATCTCAAAACGTATCGAGAATTTGTAATACATCAAAGAAGCAAAGTTGTCCAAAATGTTAAGCTTAATCTTTTGGCGTCTTCAAAATACATCCGGCGTCGTCACTTCCGGCAAAACCGGAAGTGGTCGGAAAACGCGTATTTTTGCCGAGCTTGGGAAGTTTTTGGGTAATATATGTCTCTGGGAGCATAAAAATTACTTTTCCGTCCGTCGTCGTCACTTCCGGTCAAACCGGAAGTAGCAAAAAATGGCTTATTTTTGCATTAATTAACATAGTTTTAGATTATTCAACCCATTTTTTGGCGTTATTTCTCATTTTTGTTAAAAATGAAAGCTACTTCCGGTCGAACAGGACGCTGTTACTCGTTGCTTTGCAACGAGCTTTGCTCTAGTTATTATTATTTTTCTTCTCGGGAAAATTTTGTCCGCGAATGATCTAGTAAACTACACATCCAATTTAGGTGAAATGTTTTTAGGGTCAGTAGACATGTTATGTAGATTTGCGGAATCAAGGTCATTTTGCGCGCACGTGCTTGCAAGAGCGCGCACGTGCAAAACGTGAAATGACCAATATATAATGGATTTAACCGTAACTTTTCTATTTTTTGAAGAAATGTTTTGAAACTCATAATGTAAGGATATATTAGTAGTATGCACAAGATGTCATGGTCAAAATAGGAAGATCTCACGTGCATGCACGTGCGCTTCGCTCTGATTGGCTGAAACTAAAGTGTCAATATCTTTCTTGTTTTTTGACGAAATCTTTTGAAATTTTGAACATAGCCATGCATTAGGATATCCTACAATATGATATATAGCAATTATCATGAAAACACGTGCATGCACGTGCGCTGCAATCTGATTGGCTGAAACTTTAAATAGCTATAACTCCCTAGATTTTCAACCAAACAGGATGGGGTTTGGAACATAGATATATGTAATGGACTTCTACAAGAGGGTATGGTCACCATGCATAGGCACACACGTGCGTGTACGTGCGCTGCAATCTGATTGGCTGAAACTTTAAACAGCTATAACTCCCTTGGTTTTCAACCAAACAGGATGGGATTTGGAACATAGATATATATAATGGACTTCTACAAGTAGGTATGGTCACCATGCACATGCATACATGTACGTGTACATGCGCTGCAATCTGATTGGCTGAAACTTTAAACAGCTATAGCTCCCTTGGTTTTCAACCAAACGGGGTGGTATTTATAACATAGATAGATGTAATGGACTTCTACAAGAAGGTATGGTCACCATGCTCATGTATGCATGTGCGTGCATGTGAAATGGGTAAAATCAAAAATACACTTGAATGAGCGTTTTTTTTAATACTTTTGGATTAAGTACTTTAATATTTAGCATATTAAAATATTAAGATTGTGTAGACAATATGATATGTTCATTACGCACGTGCATTCACATGAGCAAGTGTGCAATTATAAAATTTGAATGAACATGGTACACTTCTGGGTAAACGTTCTTGAAGTCTCAAATGCATAGAGTTTATCTTATTTAATTACGCTTACAGGGAATATGACTATGAAAGGGAGTTGAGGAGCGTTTGGGGAACATCTGTAACTGTCCCCGTTACAATTAGCACTAGTTATATTATGAGTTTCAAAGCATTTCATCAAAACAGTAAAGATTTACGTCTATATCAATTAAATCGGTCATTTCACGTGTTGCTCGTGCGCGCTCTTGGAAGCACATGCACACAAAATGGCATGTTGACAATGTCATCTTATCTACATTCATAATATGTCTACATATTCTAAATATCAAAGCATTACATCGAAAAATGTAAAAGTTACGGCAATTTCAAGTATATTGGTCATTTCACGTGTTGCACGTGTTGCTCTTGCAAGCACGTGCGCGCAAAATGACCTTCGTTCCGCAAATCTACATAACATGCCTACTTACCCTAAAAAGGTTTCCCCTTAATCGGATGTGTACTTTACAAGATCATTCGCGGACAAAATTTTCCCGATAAGAAAAATAATAATAATAATAAAATAAAAACAATCGTTCCCCAACTTCGTTTGGGGAACATAATAAGAAACAGAGTAAAAACAATATGTTCCCCAACTTCGTTTTGGGAACATAATTAGGACCGCAGTATGATGCATGGCATCCAGCCGATCCATATCTGTACATTGCCAGGCGTGCTTTTCCTACCGTTTTAGGGTGCAGGTACCGGGCACGATAATAGAAATGAAAGGCGTTAAAACACGTTGGTCTGAAAAATATTGACATGGTGATAAATACATTTTACAGAGGATGTAGATTCTTATTGTGGTAAGTGACTATCCGTATCATTTGATTTGTAATTTATTCCGTCCATCAAATGTGCAATTTATTTACTTTCATTCAGAAAACAAACACACCATGTTATTCAGAAAGGATACTGAATGACAAAAGCATGAAAAATATAAGCTTTTGAATGTGGTACGAAAATGATACACCTTTAAATCGGTTCATGGGAGATACCTAAATTAATCTGTACGAAATACTCGTTCCCTAATCATTACGAAGGCTTCTTTTTAATTTCCATCAAAATGAATGAATTTTGAAGAGTGGACCCCATCAAAGCTAGACTGAATAAATCTTTAGACTTCCAGCTGTAATTTTGACTTATGTTTTCTTAATTCATTAGCTTTTAAAATACAAACACTGGAAAGAAATATATATGGTCAGAGAAACCAAACAACAAGTGTTTCAATCACTATTGAGTTTTCTTCTTCAATTATGCAGGCACGTAGCAAAAAAGGGGGGGGGGGCTGGTCCCCCCACTTTTTTCCCAACATTAATTAAATAAGGAAAGGAAATAGAAACGCAGGGTAAACTTTTGAGGCGAATTAAATTTATTTTTCTTTTAATTTCTTGTAGTATTCCTATCTTACTTTTAAAATCATCTTTCAAAAAGACCAACATATATATGTTCATGCACGCCCATTTGATTTTGTTTAATAATTCATGAGTTATTGAAGCTCATATGTCGATACCCCCCATAAGTGAAAATCGAAAACTCTCGTTATGTCAATGTCTCTCCCGCACATCTGTCAGAGCCTTATTTCTCCTTTGCACGGAATTTATCAGAGAGTTTATCTTTTAAATCCTGGCTATATTGGGCATGGGTTTACTAACACGCAAAAAAATTACTCATACGACGCGCGCATGCGCCAGTTAGAGAAACACAACAGTAAGTTGACCGGCTCAGAAAGCCGAATTCCGGAATTGTTTTCTTTCATTTTTCGTATGAATGTAATGATTATATTATCGTTTTTCCAACAGCGTGACAGTTTGCTTGAGAGGGCGTGCTAAAATTTTGTATGCTGATTATCATTTTACTCATCGATTGGTTGTTTGATTTCAACGGAATCAATAATACTTTGCATATATGAAACATAGAACCCAGCAATACCTCTGACAAAACTGACCAATTGCATTGAATGAACAATTACATGTGAATGGACAAAGCAAGGTTTACTTCCTATAATGATGCTGTTGATAGCTTTATAGTACAACAGTAGCAGAGAAGTCTTACTAATTCCATTCTTTAAATTCTTACACGTATTTTTAATCTACCCGGTCAAATCAAAACAAAATGTAATAAATGCTTTTATGAGGACAGAAAACGGGCTTTGACTGACCACGTGTTGCTGCTGAATACAAATGCCGTACAGGTAGACAATCATTCAATGTGATTGGCCAGTATTATCAGGGTTTTGTTGTATTTCGAGTTTCATATGTAAATCAGTATTGATTTCATTGATCCAATCGATGAGTAAAATGATAACTAGCACACGAAATTTTAGCCCGCCCCATCAAGCAAACTGTCATGCTGTTTGTAAAATGATAATAACAGTCTACTGTATAAAAGGCGTTTTTTGTGGTAGTAAGGTGGCGATTTAAGAGATGGCAGGACGAATAACCCGCTCGTATTATGACTCTGTCCGTTAACGTCATCGTCACGGTTGATTGAAAACCATTTCAGGCCCTCTCTGACAACAGGTAACAAGTTTTATGGGATAAAATTTACAAGAAACTGCTGAGTTACCCGTTGTTGCCTTTTTCATTAATTAGGCAATTCGAAAACCAGACCCCATGGAACTTCCGTAAACTATACCAAGATTGCAAGAAATTCATATCGTCTATAAATATTGAAAAACGATGTGTATACCTCAGGTGCATCAAATGGTGCAAAAAGATTTGTTGACAAACTCGTCGTCTTCAAATTGCATGTGTTTTGGGCTTTTTAGCGTTTTCCCTACGTGACGTCATACATTCTATGGTTGAGTAATTCTGAACACTGATTTTGGTGCATAAAAAGTTAATTTCTCAACTGACCAAATTTCGTAATTTTCAGTCATGCGGTCAAAGATTTTTCGAATATTATGCTACCCTGCGTTTCTTTTTCCTTTCAGTATACTATAGGAAATGTTCACTGAAAGGCTGGTTGCCCCCCCCCCCCCCCCCCCAACTGTTTTTGATATAAGGTAAATGCAGTATAAAAAAAAGTGGTACTGAAAGAAGTTGGCATTGAAAAAAGTTGGCTTCCCCCCCCCCCCCCCCCCCCCCCCCGAAATTGGACTTTCGACTTTTGACAACTGTTCTCTTTTTCGTTTTTTTTTCTCCCCCCTTTCAAAACCGATGCTACGTGGCTGTTATACTTTACCAATGCTGTTGTCTATTTTTTTATTTACCCTTACCAACCTAATACAAGATCGAAAATCTACTTTTGTTACTTTTATTGATCTTCAAAAAGCGTTTGATTTTGTAAACAGAGATCTCTTGCAATACAAACTTCAGTTAAATGGAGTCAATGGTCCAATTTATAATGCTATTTCCAGTTTATATTCTGAGACCTTCTCTTGTGTATGTGTAAATGACTTTCGCACAAACTGGTTTGAATGTCCAAACGGTGTTCGTCAAAGAGACAACTTGTCACCTACCTTATTCTCCCTTTTCATTAACGATTTAGCAACAGAAATTTCACAACTAAATACAGGAATTCCCATTAGTGATCAAAAAATAAGCCTTTTATTGTATGCCGACGATATTGCCATTCTAAGTGAAAATGAATCAGATATGCAAAAATGTCTTGATATTCTGTCCAACTGGTGTAAACGGTGGAGATTAAATGTGAATTGTGCCAAATCTAATGTCATGCATTTTAGGAAACGCCATGTACCTCAAAGTCTATACAAGTTCAAAATAGGGGAAGAAGAATTACAGTATGTTAATCAATATCGATATCTCGGTATTATCTTTCACGAGAAGATGAACTTTAACATAGCGGCAGAAACTCTTGGTAAAGCAGGAGGAAGAGCATTGGGGTCAATGATTTCGAAAATTCATGATTATAAAGATGTTGGATTTCATACCTACGAAAAGCTTTTTCAGTCTTGTGTGATCCCTATTTTACATTATTGTTCCGGGGTTTGGGGATTTAAAACATATCATTCTTTAGAAGTTGTACAAAATCGTGCTATTCGATACTTTTTAGGACTACATAGATACGCACCCGCAATCGCATTAAACAGCGAGGTTGGATGGATAACACCGACGTACAGGCGCTGGATCAACATGATTAGAAGATGGAACCGATTAATTGAAATGGACGATGACAGACTCACCAAAAAGGTTTTCTTATGGAATTATCAAAATAGTGGAATATGGTGTTCACAAATGAAAGAAATCCTATACAAATTAAATATGCAAACCAATTTTGATTACCTCCGAATATGTGATTTAAATCAAGTCAAATGTGAATTGTTTGCGCTTTGCGAAGAAGAATGGAAATTGAAAATATCGTCGTTACCCAAATTGAGAACATTTGTGACCTTAAAAAATACTTTTGAAATGGAACCCTACATAACAATGGACATGAAAAAACAAGAACGCTCCACAATGGCTCAGTTTAGAGTTGGTATCCTCCCGTTACGAATCGAAACAGGCCGATTTAGAAACGAACCGCCACAAGAACGTTACTGTGTTCTATGTAATGACGAATCAGTAGAGGACGAAAAACATTTTTTTATTTCATTGTAAAACCTACGGAAATATTAGAGAAACTTTTTTTCATAATGTTAATTTAAATAGAAATGTAGATCCATTTGAAAATTTAAACATTTTAATGAAAAATCATCAGAGACAAACTGCCAAGTTTTTAAATTTATGTTTTTCACTAAGACAAAAATATTTATATCAATCAAATTAATATAATGTCCATCATGCGCGCTATCTTTAAAGGATTATAGTAATACTGTACATATATTAAAGTGACATATAGGTCCAATGGGCCGGGTGTGATGTATATACGTTTATATTGTATTTACTTGTTGACTATACACATGTCACTATAATAAAAAATTTACTTACTTACTTACTTACTATTTTGAATAAAAGAACTAGAACACCTTTATTTAATATGGTCCTAAATCTAAATTATATGCTTATGTAGAATTTATCTACATGTTTTACTCTTAAACATCTTATCAAGCTAAATAAAAGGTCCAATAAACTGATTTTCTGATTTCCGTTAAATCATACCAAAAGTTAAAAAAGTCTTAAAGATTCATATAAAGATTATAATTATTTTCTTAATATGGTTTGACACGGGAAATAATAAAACAATCACATTGTTGATCCCTGATGTCCATAAATTGTCCGCATACTTGCGCCAGCTTCCTTACAAACTGTGGCACATGTCTTGGATCCTCCACACTTTTTTCGAATGGCAGATACAAATCCTCCTGAAAATGAGGCAGCACAGGCGGCCTGTACGATATTATCAGGTCCCTGTCCAAAGGATCCTAAAAAATTGACAAAATTGACATGGATTATTTTATTTTATATCTAAAACATGGTACATTAACCTCTTACTCTTTTATTCTTTGTCAATTCAAAAGGGAAAAACAGACATTAAAAATCAATTATAACTATTATTTTTAGGTTTTATTGAGAAAGCATAGAGGAAACTAACAATAACGCATTTTAAAAATGGATTGAAAATACGTTTTTTTTATAATCTTTGTTTTACGCTCTGATTTTTTTTTTTTACAAAAATGATGTTACATGTGCATGTTCCAAAAGAAAAGTTCGTGCATATTTGAAATTCTCTATAAGCTTTTACAGGAAGATGAAATGGAGATATATTTTAAAAAATAATAATGCAGAGTCAATGATGATGATGATAATAACAATAAACCTTGAATTTTCCAAGCGAAAACACACACAATGATCATCCAATGCAATGTTTCTGAAAGCATTTTCCCTTTATTCTTGACAAAAATCCCCCAAAATGATGACATGCTATATTATATAGACACTTGTATTCACAGATCAGTTAAAACACCTGTTGCAATATAATTTACAGCACTGATTTATGATTATGTAGGCTTTGTAAGATATCAGTTACAAAAAGGTGTTACACATACGGAATCTAGAAAAAACTTTGATGATATGGAGTTTAAAAATCAATGTCATTCATAAATATCCGGAACTTAAAAAGATATCTACTTAATTAATTGGAATATGTGTTGTTGTTTTTTTAATCAATTTAATTTGAAAGTTTTTTTTCAATTGAATTTTATTCGAATTTTAAAAAACGTGTAGAAATAGGAATCTCTCGCTCGCTCTCTTTCCCTCTCTCTCTCTCTTGGTAAGCCACTTTTGTGGATCAACTGATGCAAACAATACATTGTGTCTTTCACATGAAAAGCTTATAAAAAAATCTATAATAATCAGTATTTATACCCATTGTGTAAATGACGATGAATATTCCTTTTATTAATAGGATTCAAAATTACAGAGACGTTTCTGTGTCAATTTCATATTGAATATTCGGACAAAGATCATTTCAAGAATATACGCAGGCTTCTTTGGATGCCCGATAGGCAGATCAAGCAGAAGGACATGAAGTATAAACCCAATAGAAATACAAATCTGTTTTTTAAAACAAAAACAGAAAATAAAATTGTTATTTTAATTAACGTCAATTTTTGGTTCAAAGTCCATGCAGTAAATTCCAACAAACTGTTTTCCATTATAACCCTATAATCCCCTTAATGCCAACTTGGACGTCAATAACGTTTTTCGTATAGTTTAAAAGTTGTAAAAGATACAAATTTCAGTAGATTTATTTTCCTCATGAAAGTCCCCAAAAGAGTTTTTAGGTCACCTGAGTAAACTTAAAATTAAACCAAAATTGTGAATTTTATGGCCCCAGGGTCAGGGGTTCTGGTGTTAGGGCGGGGCTCTATTGATTATATAGTGAAAATACCTGAATTCTTTGAAAATCTTCTTCTCTGCTCCTGGGTATTAAATAAACTAACTAAGTACATAGTTATGATAAGCAAGAGTGCCTCTACCAAAATTGTGAATTTTATGGCCCCAGGGTCAGGGGTTCTTGTTTTAGGGTAGGGCTCTAATGATTATTTGAGTGAAATGCATGAATTCTTTGAACATCTTATCCTTTGCTCCAGGTTAATATGCTAATGATCTAATTACATATTTAAGGCCAGGATTTATTTTATTTTCAGTTTTACAAACCCTCCGCTCAAGGTTTTGAATTTTTAGAAAAAAATAAAACAATTTTTTTCTTTCCGATGTCAAATTTGAGTCGGGATCGAGATTTCAAATTTACGAACTCGCAATTCCGGTTTTACGATGAAACGGCGGGTAAATAAAGCTAGATCTGAGAAGATAGATTGGTTTAGTCTAAAATTCATCGATAACAGTGCCATTCAAAACGTTTCACCCGTTCAAAGGACAAATAAAATGCTGACGACTTTGTTGCACAATGACATGCTGGTGAGATAATTATGTATTCGTTTCAAAAGTAACTGTAAATTATTTTCTTCCCCCAGGTTTTAAACTACCCGTTGTAGCTATTGCATATTGCCAGGGACATTGTTTAGGTCTCTGTTATAGCTTACAGTCTAAGCATCATTCTTCAGAAAAGGGTGCTTATGCATCAGATGTAATGAATAAAACTATGGGAGAAGTGAGGTCCATTTGAGGAAGAAATAATAAGAAACAATAACCTGAAGTGAAGAAATAAAAAAAAAATTCAACTATTAAAAGGCAAGAATATACAAATATATACAGGCATGTAGTATCATTTGTATCAGCCAGAAAAATTATTTTACACTTAATTGAAAAAATGTTGACCCTACTCCCCAATACTTCCTGTCTGTTTTATGATAGGAATTATAATTTTAGGCATCAAGAAACTTTTAGAACAATGTCTACACATTCACCTAACACATATTAAAAAAAATGAAGATATATTGAAAGACTTTTAAAGAATTGATTTTTTAAAATATATTTTGATCAACATCACAAAATTTATATAACTGGCCCAAACTGGCAGATGATGAAATAAGCAATTAAATGTTCTACTTTCCTATTTGTAAGCATTATGTGTCCAGTGGTAAGGAGCCTATTAGGATAGCATAAAAAAAGAATGTACAAGTGTAAATAATTGATTTATCAAAAAAATTTATTTCCTTTTCCTTCGGGACTTTTTTATTCTCATGTTCATAACTAAACCTAAACATAAAAAAAATGCTGGCCTTATAATGAAGAAAGGGGCCTCTTTCAAAATAGATAATTTCAGGGCTGCTGGGTCGGGGTACCAAGGGGATACTTTGACTAAAAATAAATTAATGCTTTGAAATCTGCCCTTTGATAAGCAATGGTGCCTCTTTCAAAATTTGTGAATTTCATGGCTTTTGGCTTAAAACACGAACCAAATACAATCGCTGGAAAGTTGTTACATGATACTCAGGTGACCTATAAGGCCCGTAGGCCTCTTGTTTTACACGAAATAGCTTTCAACGGCTGCAGGACATTTGTGACACATAGATACATTTTTATGAAAAAGCTATTTCTCTTGATTTTTAAGTTAACACATCTTATATTAGAATCCCCGTTGTACATTGAAAAAAATGCATGAAGAACTTAATGAAAATGGAAAGAATAAACGGTTTTCAGGAAGTATATGTTTTAAAAGAAACAGCACAGAAAACAATTGTATCTATTTGGTTAAGAATTTACCAAAAAAAAAAAAAAAAAAGAAAGAGTGAAGTAGGTCAATATTCTATCTGAAGTTTTCTTTTGTTATTTCAATACTAATTATGACTTATTTTGTTAAAACATTCTGATTGTACACACAAGTACTCTGAAGTTGACATTAAAATGATTCTTGAGTTCCTGATTTACAATATGCATATGATTTCTGGAGACCAGGACTGGGTTGCTCAAAACACTATGATACTTTGTCCAAAAGCTTATACGTGAAAAGGATTGCCGTGACCTTCAATTCGACGTTTAGATATATCGATTGTCATCTCAATTAACAATGGTGATTTCCATTCTTATGTCGATACGATATATCTCGGTGAGCTTAAAATAAAAGATATCAAAGAGTTTGACACATCTGTATCATATTTGGATATTTTACTTGCAAAACTAGTTAATGGTAATCTAACAACCATGCCCTGTCATCAACGCCCTTTATTCATGCAACAAAACACCTTCATCACTGGTATACGGAGTTTATATCTCTCAGTATATTCCATATGCGAGAACATGCTTTTTGCATATACGATTTCTAAAACGAGGTAAATTTTGACAAAAAAGTTGATGAAACAAGAATATTAGCACTCCCGTTTAAAGTCATCATTTCGTAAGTTTTATGCTCGATACAATGACCTTGTCAGCAAATTCAATTTATCATTAAGTCAAAATGCTGACTGATGTTTTTTCATACTGATTGTAAGGACATTATTTGCACATTGAATTGACGACAGATTTTCTCGTTATTTACCGATCTTGACAAGGGGCACACAGCGGGTGTGTCCGGTCGGCAGGGTATGCTCACTCCTCACTGCACCTGAACCCACCTCTGATAATATGAAGGTCCGTTATTTCTCCGCTCCTATTTTGTAATGCTTTTGGAATTTTCGTATCTCCATATATTTCATATATTAACATTGCATGTACGAAATTCCGGAATGTATTTGTTTACAGGGTAAACAGACGCTATCTTTACTTTCGAACACTGATAACCTGTTTCATATAGGGTGTTTTAGCTACATACCTAATAACTACTTTCAATTAAATGTTATTATGAAATTCCATCTACAAATATTTTTGTGCCTTTTCATCACAGGATCTGTAGTTTCCAGTGATGATGATTGTATCAGCAAAATAGAATTCAATGCATTTAAACAAACTGTATTGAAACAACTTAGAAATCTGGAGATCGAAAACAAAGTGCAAGCGAAACTAATAGCCAGTCAGGAAAGAATGATCTCCAGCCTTAAAGAATCGCTCACAGGAAACGGCGAAACATTAACCGAACTGAGCAGGGAAGAAAATTCAACGATAAATTCTACGCTCGTCGATATGGCAACACCGCAATTACCTCTAAAGACCATATTATCAACCTCATCGCTCAAGAGAATGAAGCAACCAAGTGAGTTTGATTTTATGTATAGTTAAACTGAATTTTATTTTTAGTTGTTTAACAAGCATTTTAATAGCTACGGTCTTAATTTCATTTTTCATTACCTCTTGTAGTTCCTCTTGTTTCATTCATCAATGATATGTTAACACCTTTAGTAAATAAATTACTAGTAATTTAAAAATTTGCTTTTTCACAGCATACAACAAATGTTTAGCTGAACCAACATCATTTATCATTGATATATTTTTCCATGGACATTTTTTGAATTGAACGAATCAAATTTTCGCATGTAGTGTACAGGTCGAGTTTATTCAATGACTTACCAACAAAATGCATTAATGCAATATTATATTTATTTAATGTATTCTAGATGAACGTTATATACCGAGATTGTAGCAAAGTGTTTTGCTGATTGATATTTACCTGTATTATTTTCTGTATGCCTGATACCAAAACCTATATCCGCTCGAGTCCTCAATTAGTAGGATATTGAATATGGCTAAATTAAAGCAATATGAGCTGCATTTTTGAAAAATAAAATTGCTGTTAAAACGTTTTATAATGATACATTTGTATATAACTTAAACCTTTATGATCAAAGACTAAAATAAAGCAGAAAAAAGACTTCTATATACAATCCAATTAACAGTTTATATAAGAAATTATTGTACAGGACGACAATAATGTAATTTTGATTCAATCGAAGCTTATAAATAGTTCTTACATCGCGAATATGAACAACAGAAGTTAATTTACATTACATATTTTGGTCATTGAAATAGTCATTTACAATTTTGCAACAAAAATCCTGACATCAAAGTTGCAGCTCATATTGCTTTAAAGAAAATCTCAGTTTTGTGGTGAAGTATGATAGGAACAAATCCATATATATTTTTTTCCAAATTCTTGACAATTTGGATCAACCTGTCTTGAAAAATAACTAAGAAAAATTAACCTAGTAGAGAGTGAATTGAAAAGCATTAAATCACAAAAACGAGTGTGTAAGAATTGATCTTGCTTCCGAAATTTTTTTTCTGAAAGATTGATAGATAAGATTGATAGAACATTCTCGACTTTAATCGTTTAACAGTCTATTTCTTTTTTCCCATAGAGGTAAGCAGAATCACCGACGCCCCTGAGTACCCCATTGCTTTCTATGCATATCTAACTACACCTGAAGTAAATCCTGGAGCGCATCACATAGTTGTCTATGACCATGTTATGACGAATAATGGACAGGGATATAATAAACACACGGGATCCTTTACTGCTCCCACGACTGGAACTTACGTTTTCTCTTGGACGACATTTGTTGATCCACATTCCCGTTTTCCGATGGAGCTAACGGTTAATAGCGCTAGAGCTGGCATTGTGTTTGTACAAGGTGACACCACATATAATGGAGTTACTGGTATGGCCGTCGTTAATCTTCAACTAGGAGACGCTGTATATGTAAGATCTGAACCTGGATACACTCCAGTTGGCAATATTTACAGCGATCACAACACACAAACCTCATTTTGTGGATGGTGCCTATCCTGCTAAAATCTTTGACAGTTTGGAATTATTTGGAGATTTTGTAAACTTTCTATAATAATCAAGATTTATAAGTCCTTTAAGATGTACAATGTATGAAGATCTGACATTTTAAAAGTTTGAAATTATTTGGAGATTTTGTAAACTGAATAATAATCAAGATTTATATATCCTTTAATGTACAATGTGTGAAGATCTGACATTTTAAAATTTAAAACGTGTGAAGATCTTTTGTGAAAAAAAGGATAGATCTAAGTGATCGATTTAAAAAAAATCTATGAACATACAAAATGTAAAGAGATCATAGAACAGGGGTCCTTGGAAATTCCGAAAGTAGTCTTTGGTGATTAGGAAGAGTGAGCATCACCTTTTGACCACAGACACCGGCCACAATCCTTATCTATTTATCAGGAATTTCCCCTAATCAACAATAAGGATAAAACAATTCAGCCAAAATGTGACCCAGTGATAGGATATATTTAATGAAAAGATCATTTTGACGACCTTGGAATTTACCAAATGCCGATTTTGAAAGAATTTGTTGAAATCCTCACAACTTCAACTTATTTGTCAATAGTATGCTCCGATGTAAAAATTAATTGTATTCACATCAACCCTAGTTAGACATAAACACCATAAACAGGAGTATTACAATATAAATAAGGAAAACTGAAGTACTCTCGTTTATCCTATAATTTAACGTTAGTTGTTAATTGGCTGGAGAATCTATTGACAAGAAAGTTGATGAAACAAGAATATTAACAGTCTTGTTTGAGTCCATCATTTATTGTCCATAAATTGACCTTGATCGGCAGCAAATACAACCTATGAATTAGTCAAATCTTTCATACTAAGTGTAAGATTATTATTTACACACTGAATAGTTTACGGGTTTTCCCGTTTTTCCAATCATGACAAAAAGCACACGCAAGATGTTACCAGTTGGCAAGATATGCTCACTCCTCACATACCTAATCCCGCCTTTGGTGTTTTGGAAGTCCATGTTTTCTATGCTTCCGATTTGTATTGTTTAAACGGACTTTGTCGAGCTTTAACACTTTTTTGTTAGCTACATTTTTCAACTGAGAATAGTACTAGTAATTGAAAAGAATCTGATTTCATATTTTGCACATACTAGTATATCTTGGGAGAAAATCATGCTTATCGACACAATGACCATTTTAATTAACCTTCCTTTTAAGATACTTCATTGTGCTAATATACAGCATATTTCTGACAACAGAAGTATATCTATGCTTTGGAGTATGTGTACTGTTTGACAAAATCGTCATGAAAATTCACTTGACTTTTGGTCTACCGACAGTTTGCAAAAAAATAATCTGGATGAATGACTTAACTCCTGTCTCTTGATTTTGTAAGGCGGGGTTTGTCATTTTACAGCATGTATATTTTACGTTTATGAGCGCAACACATTTAAGAAATGAATTTAATTTTTGAAGATTCATGAGGTTATGAACTACGACGCTTCACGCCGGCATATTTCATGAAGCGCGTTAGCGCTTCATGATAAATATGCCGGCTTGAAGCGTTGTAGTTCATATACCTCATGAATCTTCAAAAAATTAAATTCATTTCTTATATTTACATTATTTTTCTGATGACTTGCCATAAATTTACGCCGTTCAACTGTCATTTTTAAAACAAAACAGTGTGCACTATATTTTTTGACTTTTTGAAGTCAAGAGCGGTATTATGACGTAACAATGGAGATATTCATGCTTATTTGTGATACATACCTAATGTAGTTCATGAGAAAATATACTGTATTTTATTTTGTAAAGAATCATAGGGGAATTTATTGGAAATGTAAATATTGTCTTTTTAATTGCACGCTACAGTTACCATATACTAGTAACTTGAAAATACGATACTATCGAAATACATCGTGATCGTTACATGTACTGCAGATTTGTAGACTGATATCATAGCCGTAAAGAAAGACTGCTGTTCAATCCATTTCATTAATTAGAATAAAGGTATTTTAAATCAAATTAAAACTGAAATCTCTTTTGAGGGCTGTTTGGCTTGGATAGTAAAGTTTTTAAATGTATACTTTCCATCTCATTTTCACTCCAACTTTGAAAGTGATTCGTATTTCTATTTGAGAGTCAGATTTCATTTGATGTATTCAATTCTATTGCTCTTATTGGTTGTTGTTTTTTTTTCTTCAGGATAAAAATCATTACATTGCTAAAAGCTAAAAAATAATTGGTTCTCCTTCCATTTATTAGCTATAAAACACTAGACACATTTATTTTTATCACTTGTTTTGTGAAGTTCTCAAATCAGAAAAAATATACTGAGAACGAATAGGAAACACATTAACCATTTGACTCTTTCATTCAAGAACTGAAAAAGTATTAAACGTATTACATTGTTCACAAGGCCATTTATGCCTGACAACAACCAAAGTTAGGACCACATGATGTCCAATCACAACCATTTCCATACCTGTAAATCGCCAACTGTGCTGTTCCTGTGCTTTCCGGTTTTTAAGGAGAGTACTTGTAGTAAGAATGAAATGCTTGAAAACAGCTAGCTCCCACTATTAAAAAAAGGAAACACAACTGTTATTAGCAGACCTATTTTTGGTTACATATGAGACATAATTTGTTTGAAATCTTTTACGTGAAAAAATACTTCCTGTGGCCTTCAACTGAACATTAGGATGTATCGACGACGACGTATTCACCCATTCTCAATATAAGGGCACAAATGCCTCTCTGATTTTTTAAAAAATGAAGTTCAAGATAACAATTTTTCTATCAATTACCTTTGAAAGAAAGTATCTGAAGATTTTGTTTCCAGATTTTTTTCATCAAATTTTAATACATGGAATAATGACAAGACGGTAAAGTAGAGGGTGATTTTATTCAAAAATGTAGCTTGAAATGTACGTTACTCTTTCTTCAATGTCCAAAAAGATATGTAAAAAAAAAATGTAGTCATTAAAATCACAATTGGAATATCTCATCTTAACACCAGCACATCCTACCAACTCTGTCAGCAACATATTTTCTCGGCATACGAACGTGCGTTTGATTTTTCCTTTCAAAAAACAAAGGTTACTTTTTGATCCAGATGTATAAAAACATTTTTTTAAATATATGCTTTAAATTCTTCTCTCTGTTTTGTTTAGAGCGATCAGTTTGGAATCTTGTCATTTTCTATAGATACTGGAACTTAACATGTACATGTAGTAAAATTCTATATTGTAGTTACTGTCTTTTTTAACATATATCCATGCCGATTTAGAAAACTACGTAAATGTAACGTACATTTCAATATATATTTTTGTTTGATAAAAAGCTTAAAATTCATCTAAAAATTCATAGTTTTGTTTCAGTTTATTCCAAAAAAGATTCTCTACGTAATCACATTGTGTTATATGTCAATCACTACTATAAAGACACGATTGTCTCAGAATATGAGTAGGTAACGTACATTTCAAGCTTGTAATAATATGTAAATTAGTAATAAGAAAATATTGAAAAAAAGCAATTATTGACTTTAAAATCATTTCAATGAAGCGTTCTAACGCAGTAATATAAGAAATCATAATGTAACAAACGTGGTTATTTGTCATCAACTACATGAATGTCACGTTCATTTCACATATTATTGGGGAGTCCCCTCAACCTCAGTTCATTACCATTCGTTTGTGCTGTTTCGCTGAAATTGACATTGGTCGTAGCCTAGTTACTTCTACCTGTGTGCAAGGGTACAGACAAAAAAAAAATAAGAGTCAGACGTATTTTGCTATGATCTATGATCTAACAAATGCTCGTGTTTGGCCATTGAAACTTAACATAAATCTATTCCGAATATATCCATCGACAGTCTTGTTAACAATTTCATTTAGTATGTTGCAACATCGTTTGTCAAAACACAAACATACGTACTTTTCAGCAGATCTGGAAAAATATAACCCAAAATGCAATGATTCAAACAAAACTGAGTATTGTGTGCCTTTCAGTATTTGGAATGTACGGGACCGTCTTGTGTTCTGGGTTTATTTGTTTTGTTTCTTTTTCTTCTTTTTTTTTTTTTTTGTTTTTTTTTTTTACCAATTATAAGCCTATGCATACCTTGTTTTAAATTATCAACACAATTAAATTAATATTGAACAAAAGTCGCATATTAAAAGTAAACAAACTGCAAAAAGGTTGCCAAAGATGAATTTAAGACACTTAAGAAATAAATTTTCTAGCATGTGGTAACAGTCTACCACATTTACGAGGATTGGGGATGCATTTAGATGGATTTATGTGGTCAGTTGTCAAATGGATTGTAACGATAATTTTGTTTCGCTCATATAAACGCAATTCATTGACTAAATTTTAAAAAATATGTCATTTAGAAATACGCAAAATGTACGTTACCATACGTAACGTACATTTCAAATATAAAAATCAATTCTCTTCCACAAGCGTACTTCAGACACGCAATATATTGATACTATTTGAACTTGCATATCATAAGAAATGCATTATACAGGTTTCTTATTCAGAAATATATACCAGGTATCAAAATTATATTACATATAATTGACCTTTATTTTTTTTTCCACCAGCAGAAACGTTTCTTTTCATTAATTTTGGGATTTAGCCGACCTCCAACCTTTGAAACTTTCCTTTGTGCACACATTCGAGTGTGTGAAAGTATGAGAATACATGAAAATTCGTGCGAGATTCACTTAATCCGAATTTCATGGTAACGTACATTTCAGTCACGTACATTTCAAATGATCGCTTTTCATGTAAAAAATAATTTTTAATTGTGTTAAGCAAAACGTCTTTGCCAGTTTACAGGATACAAGGGGTTGCTTATTCAGAGTTGTCTCATATTTTCTACTTAACATATATTCTTAATGGAATAATATAGGTAACGTACATTTCTTTCTTATCTCTATTGTCTTTCATTCCGTAAACATATTTACAAAAGTTGGTCAAATTGTTCAATTTCATATTACATTATCTAAGTAGGAGTAATTAATCCTTTGAAATTTCAAATTTAGCCCATCAATAAATAAAGGAGAACAAAACTATCAGGTGTATAATCTTTGTGTTTGCTTGTAATGTGGTTGAAATAGAATTAAGCGACAGGGACATTGCACAATAAAAATTATTTATTATCACAAAGAAAATGTAT